ATTATTATTATTTTATTATTATTATTTATGGGAAAACATTAATTAAACGCCAGGCATGATAGAGCGCCTGAGGAATGGGGGGCAATTAGAATGGCTCCCAAAAAAAAAGATGGAAAAATTAAATTCCTTGGATCGAAAACCCTCATCAACATCAAAGAACCTCCCTTGAGGGACCCCCATCAAAGTGTTAATTATATGTGTACTGCCTGATAGACTCTTCGCTCTATAAACCCAATTCGGATGTCGCGTATTGTTCCATCCACCCAACGTTAGTTTTCCGTCACTTCCTCAAATTCGGCCTTCATTAATATCCACAGATCAGCAATTTCTCTTCCATTCCCTCCGCCAGTGAGGTTACAATACATGTCTCCCATCACTTAGATTGCTGGCAATATTTCTCATCTTTCTGAAATAAATTACGTGCGCCGTATTAGGATATATTAATGGGGGATCGTGTCCCCACAAATGGCTTCTTGAGTCCTAGAGAAGCCATTTGTGGGGAAACCTTTCTATTTTAAAATATTCTAATTGCGCATTAGAATATTTTAACATTTGTGGATATTTTATACCATGTCTTACCCTCATTCTCCATCTTCTATAACCAGGTCATCAGCTGCCCCTTTGGTTCATGATTTAGGTCACCACAAGGGTTATCTGTCTCTCCTGCTATAGTTCCCGTCATCACAGGTTTGTATTCCTTCTCAACGTAACAACAAGTCTCCCAGTGTCCGTTCTTGAACTCCATCACACCATGAGTTAGCCGCCCGTAAATGTCCCCTCTCTACGTGAGCCAGGTTACCAATAGTGTCCCCTCTGTCCATGAGCCAGGTCGCCAACATTGTCCCCTCTATCTGTGAGGCAGGTCGCCAACAGTGTTCCCTCCCAATATGAGATATGTATCAGAGTCTTCATCTGTGAACCAAGTCACCAAGAATACGAACCAAGTCGCCAAGAATAAGATCACCAACAATGTTTCCTCCGTCTGTGAGCAAGGTCACTAACCGTATCCCCTTCTCTTTGAGTCATGCCATGAACGGTGTACGTTCCTCCATGATTCAGGTCATCAATAGTGTCCCCTCCTATATGAGCCAGGTAATCAACAGTGTCCACCGTCTATAAGCTAGGACATCAACAGTGTCCCCTCAGTCTTTGAGTCAAGTTTCTGACAGTGTCCCCACTCCTCCGTGAACCAGGCCACCAAGTACAGTATCACTTACCTTCTTATCTCCCAGCTGTGCCACACGACAGTGAAGGTAGGCTGACTGTCCCTCGAGTGCCGTCACGTTCTTGGCCGGGGGAGGCAGGAAGTATGGCTTGGTGTTGAAATGCGGGATCCCTTGTTCCAGTGTGAACCCTGTAGTGTATCACCTTTCGTAAGTTATCACCACTAGGATATCACTTTCTCTCTCTCTCTCTCTCTCTCTCTCTCTCTCTCTCTCTCTCTCTCTCTCTCTCTCTCTCTCTCTCTCTCTCTCTCTCTCTCTCTCTCTCTCTCTCTCTCTCTCTCTCTGCTTCCTGCTCTCTCTCAATATATATATATATATATATATATATATATATATATATATATATATATATATAATATATATATATATATATATATTATATATATATATTATATATATATCAGGAACTCTTAAATCGTTTAATAGCAGTACTTTTTATTACGTTTTGATAAACGCTGTCGCTGTTATCAGATATCTTAAAAATAAATGCAATAGTATTATCCATTTGGATATACTTATTAAAAGGAGGATTGTTCTTGCATTCAACACGTCAGTGTGCAGAAAACCATTTACGATTCTTTTGATTATGCATTAAGAAGGAAATTGCCTCGGTTATTGAATGACATTTACTGTCAGATTGCATTTCGTGTAGTATTCAAATTCTTTAATTGAATACAAAGGTAATTTAAATACAAGGATCGTTTCTCTGTTGACCTGCAGTCTACGTCTTTGTACTTATTTAAATGTAACTGATGAAGTACTACATATATATGCCAGACCAAGTGGCAGCCGAAGGTGTGAACAGTAGAGCATCAAGGTCACTCCTATCAAGTGGCAGCCGAGGGTGTGAACAGTAGAGCATCAAGGTCACTCCTATCAAGTGGCAGCCGAGGGTGTGAACAGTAGAGCATCAAGGTCACTCCTATCAAGTGGCAGCCGAGGGTGTGAACAGTAGAGCATCAAGGTCACTCCTGTGGATCAGTTTTTGTTTATAAACCATCATTTTCGAGACTATAGTCAACATTGTGACCAGAAAGCCACCCTCCTGTTTTTTTCGGATGGTGCTTGTTGGGTTCTAGCCAGTCGGACTGATAACATTGGCCCGGGTATTGGTGGTCGTGGTGGAAGTCGTTGGTTGAAGTCAGGCTACGACCAACACTAGTTACGACTTTTTTATTATGATTTTCTCGTTATACCGACATACGAAGGTTGATCAATTTTTTGGCAGACTTTACCTGTTATAGGTGGTGCTGTGATTGCTTTATACTTATTGGTCAGTTGTCAAACATTTGATATCACCGTTTTTTAAAAAAGATTTTAATGAAACTAAGGGGTAAAATTAGAAGAAACAGTAGCGAGCATTGAGGAAATTTACTATGATGTCTGCACCATACCCGTCCAGGGGGATTTCTAGACGCTAGTCAAAGGCTTTTTATCCAAGAATTTGGTCTTGTTAACTCCTTCCTTGGATCTAACCTGATTGACTCCCATTCTCCAGATAAGGTGTGACCCCTATGGATTTAGTGCTTCCAAAATAAAAGGCTGAAAAAATGTTCTAGTTATGCCATACGCGCCGTATTGACTTAACGTTATCCAAGTGATTTTTTTCTGATCTAGAAAAAATAAGCTGAAACTGAAAGGAATGATATTTCCTGAAATTCCCAAAATTCATAAGAATGTGACAGAAGAACTCAACAAACTCACACTTGAAGACTTCCACAGTGGCTTCTGAAAGTGGCAGGAACGCTGGAATAAGTGCACATGATCGGGGGAGATTACTGCCAAGAGGACAGCTCGTAAAAAAAAACTTTCCACACTATTCCTTAAGATAAGATTATCATAAAACTTTTTATTTACCCAAGTAATGCTGTCAATGTCAAATTGTTATCATTTGAATCTCGACTTCAATATCACAGGACTCAGTTTATCTAAGGAAGATTTCAGTGGATGTGAAGCCATTCCAGTGGAGCGTTTCAACGCAAATAGTGGAAGTATTGTGCAGTTTGTGTGGGGGATGGTGTGAACAGCAGGGAAGACGGCGGACGAAGATAAGGGAACCCTTCACCGTTCTTGGGTGTCGGTGAAGATCGCTATATGTACAATATTTATATTTGTGTAAGCCTTCATGTATACACATACCTCCAGCATGAGTGTGGATGTATGAAAGACCCATAGTTAAGTGTGATGCGAGAGAGTGTGAAGCTGAGTGTAGCAAGTAAGTAACCAACCAACCAGTGCCACCTCCCACTCCACAAGAGGAGGTGGTGAAGTTGAACGGGGTGGAGGTGGAGGGGAAAGAACTGTACAGGTGTATAGTGTATACCACTGAGTTACTAGTACCCATACCCTCATTTTTCAGTGTGCATGAGAAACAAATATAAGTGGGTTTATTATAAATGAACAACAGAGTAAGTCCGTATACATCTAGGGTACAGTGGCTGCCTCGCTTTTCCCCTCTCCCTTTCATTCTCCTCCAGGCTACCACCCACACGGTAGAGCACTGTACCTCCTTAATACAAGATGTAAGTTTATTTAGGTACAGGTACACGTAAGTACAGTTATCATACATAGTGTTAATTACCTAGAATAACCTAAAAAAAAAGTCAGGAACACATTTCTTCTTCCACTCACCATCCACCCTCTCTGCATCCACTATGATAACCCCCTCCACACTCTGATTAGCATCCATCTTAGCCGGCTGGATGCATGCTAATCAGAAGGGAGCTAGCAGCCGAAGAAATGGCGTAGCTGGCATTGTTAGGGAGGCAAATTTACAGATATTCAGAATCACTCTAGATAATAGCCTTAGATCTCTAGAGACTAAAGTGATTGGTTTATTAGTGGTATTGTACAGGATAAGTTGGCACCACAAACCGTTGAACGGTGCCGTAATATTACCATACTGCTCTGGGTCAGTATGTCCTCACATGGAAAGTAATGACCCTTCGTCACTTCACTCGCCTGATCACACCCCAAGTGATCTCATCTCATTACATATTATCTTAAATGCAGTGAAACAGCTACCAAGACCCTCCCACATATTCCCAATGCAGCCCGTCCACACGATACTGGGAAAATAATAAAACCTCCTGACATGACATAGCTTGCTACTGTTTGACAATGTCTGCCTAGCCGTGGCAGTCATTAAAGCTTAAAAAGTTTTCCCCAGGGCTCACAACCTCATACTCCTTCCCCATCAACACAAAAATGTGAGAGGTGGACCCCTAGTCCATCCACTAACGGTAAGAAAATCAGACTCCACGTAAAAAAAAAAAAAAAAAAAAAAAAAGCAGTGGGTAAAATCAGGATAATCACCAACAATGATACAGTTGTTCCAAGGGAAGGTGACGCTGCTCAAGTACTTAGAGATAAACACCTTGCCAGGAAAACCACGAATATCAGCAGCTCTTCCACCATTGTGCCACCGTGGAAAGAACGATTGTGCAAGAATCATTCGTACAATGCAGTTATTTCATTCCAGTCTTTACCTCAACGGAAAATCTAACAACTGCTATCAGATAAACATCCACCAGGTTACTGTCACACACATCCCCAAAGCAGCTCGTCCCTAAGTTGTTACCAAATTCACTGACTTCGTGGGAAAAGACAATGATGCCTCATCAATCACCGATCCTTGTACAACCTCCTGCTGTGTGATAATACCTGCCTGCCTGCCTGCCTGCCTGCCTGCCTGCCTGCGCCACCCAGGAACGACAGATCCCTAGCCACATCTATTATTAGGGTAATGCATGAATTTCCTAAAGATTCCAATCTCATCCGCTTTTCCTCTAGTGCGATAAACACCCATTGGTGAAATACCAGCAAAGGAACACCTGAAGGCTCAAAAACCAGAGCCAAATTATCAAAAAATAGAAGAGGGAACTAACACTGAAGCATTTAGACTGATAGCTAGCGAGGATTCCATTGCTTTTATGGATTCCACTTTAGCGCAAACTCTGAAGAACAAACACCCACTCAAAGGTTCCATCACTACCACTGACCTCCATGCTAGTGACACACGAACCTTCAACCTTTCAGGATGCAGATACGTAAAGCTGCCATATCATTCACACAGGGGCTCTGCAGGTGGTTTCACGGGTTTATGGCCACGACATATTAAGTAAATGCTCAGTTCAGCACTCGGTGATGATGTTTCAGAGAGCCTCGGTTCTAAGCTCACCAGATTTAGCAATGTGTGCCTGGTTGGATCTGTTTCGGTGCTTCACTCTGTGCACTAAGAAAAAATGAACTGAGGAATAAGATCCATTGCAGTTGGCAACATGCTCCGACGCCTTGTTGCCTGGGCTGCACTGAGAATAGTGAGTCACGAGGCTGCCATAATACTGAAACGAACACAGCTCGGGTTTGGAATTCAACAAGGATGTGAGGCAGCTGTCCACGCAGCTCGGGTATACATTACTAACATGACATCAAAAAACCTTAATTAAATTGGACTTTACCAGTGTTTTTTTTTTTACCTTAATCAGAAAGGATGTTGCTCTGCAATTTTTAGACATTTCCCTTCCCTCTATCCTTTCATCCATTTGTGTTATCGTCGTATCTCTAAACTCCTGTTTGGTGAAAATGAAATAGTCTCGTTTGGATGTGTAAAACGGGGGGCATTTCCCCTCCGGCGTCTCTCCTCTTGTTTGGTTATCGAAGAGATCACTGGGACACTGTCCAGGGGGTTCAACACCAGTTTTAGGATGATATCACTCTAGCTGACACTCTGGAATCACACACATAGAGGACATCAGGAAAATATGATCATTCAGAAATCCTAGGCTTATCTTTAAACCCAATCAAAACTCAAATACTTTCTCCTTGCTGTCAGAGCTTTGAAGATATCAGTGCAGCCTTGCAAGGAGTCATAGTTTTAACCATAGGTATTCTATTTGACACAATCCTCCAGTCCAGTGCCAGCGCTCTGATTCTAGGAAAAAAAATGACTGACCTCAGGATGATGAGACATGATCCTGAAGTCATGACACCTCCTACCTATTCACTTCCGATGCTTCACATCTCTTAACAGACCCAAACAGTGGTCTGAACCCTTCCCTTGAAGATGGGCAGTAGATGCAAGCCTCACTTACAGTCACACTTGGTAGACTGGGAATTAGTAGTCTCC